ACTATACAAGCAAGGAGCTCGGGAGGACTCGCTGTGATCTGATACAGGCTTTGAACGTGAGATCATCTCACTGAGATGGTATCGGAATCTATCACATCCCCATGCTTTTCACATCATAGGCTCATAAATCAGAGTTAGCTCGGCAGCAAGCGGAGCATGACGCCGAGGTACATGAGAAAGCAGCCCGGGTGGCTGATGAGAAAGCGATGCAGCTGGAAGAGCGTATTCAGGCTCGCGATGGAGAGGTTTTCACATTCGAACTCGATTTGTAGTCTGAATTTAGCGAATGGTTCCGTCAGATTCACAAACTTACAATCGTCAGTCGAGAGTCATCAGTCAGACTGAGACAGACGTTGCCGAGCTAGGCAGGAGGCTGGACCGGAAGTCTCACGAAGTATGGGCCTTTCCTCTTGCTTATCAAACGCGAACGTTGGAAAGTGCGCGAAAATCTTCCATGCACCATAGATGCGAAACGGTCGAGATCGATTGGTATACCATAACAGGTATACCAATCGATTTTTCCGGGCTTAGAGCTTCTGAAGTACAATTTTCATAGTCATTCGCTCATTGAGTCCCGAGTTCGGCCCTTTTTCATGACTTGCCCGTCAAACACGAACAAACGGTAAAGTTTAACTTATTAACCTAAGTTAAATACCGATGAGGATGGTCGAATTACATGCTTATAGATGGGCAGAATTACATTACGGGTCGTTACGGCTCAGTTTTACTCGTACGCTTCAAGCCCCGTAACGTAAGATGGACGGAATTTGCAAAGGAGACGAGTGGTAAATGCGAAACCAAATGTTACTCTCTCAGCGGTCCGGTTGGATCCGAGCAACAAAAACTGAGTTTAACAGCTATTTGAGCTATCGTGGAGTGCATTACACCCAATCTTTCCGCCATAATTCTAAAAAAGGAGTTAAGCACCAACCGTAAAGTCGTAAGGCCTTTCCGTAACAGTAAACTGCTTATGTCACACACACCGTAACTTAAACCATAAAAAACCGTTACGCTGTCCATCTATAGTCAGAAAAGACGCTGCAAGGCTTGAAGAGCACTGAGCCATCTGGTGCTCGTGTTCGTCTTGTTGGGAGCCGTTCTGGGTTTCCATGTCAACGTTCTCAATGTCGCGAGAAGATACACTCATCCCACTAGATTAACACAACCAGTCGATAATACCAATTAATACTAATGGACAGATAATAATCAACCCACCAAGCCTTGGGTTGCAACGATAGTACTTCACGTAAGGATGGTCCAACCAGTAAGGACCACAAACCAATAAAAACTCTTAACCTTATCTCAGGGTTTGTCCGTTTTGGGAAAAAAGGCGATTTTTTCCCATTTCCCATATTTCCCGGGAATTCCGGGAAATCTTTCGGGAAATTTCCCACATTTTTCCCCGAGTTCAGTCTAGCGTTTCGGCATTACATGGGATATACGGTGGTCTAAATATGCGCCTTTCTTGCATTTACACGAAAATTGGCACTTGGGCGTGTAGTCCGCACTGCGGCGATGAGTAGCCGCCCTTACGTTTCATCTTATATAAAGGATTGAACTCGATAACCATGTCTTGTGGTGTTTAATGGCTACTAGCAATATGCCTACCAGCCGATCTACTGTAGTTCAGTATTTGAAAGCTCTCTTCTTATTGATGGGAGGCCGCGGTCGTCCATGCAAGGGTAACTTCCGGCCAGACGGCTTTTTCGAGGCCTTGCTGACAGTAGATGGATGGAAACCCGACTGCAATATCCCGGAGCGAGGCACCCAACGTGATCACAGCCAGGCCTCCACATACAGGCGAGACGAGACTGTTTGCTCGGCTCGCCTGTCGAGTGGGGAGAGCTCGCTCACTCGGCTCGACTCGCCATTTTTCGCCGAGCCGAGACGAGTCTCGATTTTTTTCCCGGCGGAGCTTCGCTCCGCCTTATTATTACCGGAGGCTCCGGACTGGGGTGTTTCTTTTCTCACAATGTACGTCGCAGTTTCTTCATTTAGCTTATTGGAATATGGTGCTTAGGATCGGTTCAACTGAATTCTGGTAGTCTAATACTACTCTTTGCAACTATGACTGTCCCTGCTGACCCAAGCGCCGATGAGTACAAACCGTACGCTTCGAACACATCTAACTCTGCCAGTAGCTCCTCTAAGGATGATATTGATGTTGGATGTGCCTTCCCCGTGTCTGGTGACGACCCTGAAGAAGTCCTTCATCCCTTGGTCCCCCCGATGAATCATTCTGCCCGCTCGTCGAAGACTCCCAAAAGTAAAACTTTTCCGGAAAAACGGAGGAAAAGCTTGGTCTCCACTGGCGAACACACGAATCGTAAGATTCGTAAGTTATCTTCTTCGTGTTTCGATACCGCTAGACAAGGACGAAGTATTCCCCAGATGGGGCAAGCCCTCGACCTTCTGTCCTATGCGTTAGCTGGCCCTAAGCCCAAGAGCAAGAGCAGAGTCTGGGAAGACTTCAGCTTGGTAAAGCGAAAATGTGATGATGAGATACTCGACGATATTGCAGCCTGTAATCACTGTCTAGTGGTCGTCTCTCATATTGATTCTAATACTTCATCTATGATACGTCACCAATGCAAGCTTGATCACGAAAAGTCCATTAAAATGACGCAGTTCCCTGGTGTTCTCAAGCCTACTGTTCTTCCCGATGAACAAAAACAGTTGTTGGTCGAGGCATGTGTCAAGCTTTCTTCTGCAATTCCTGGTATAGGGTTCTGCACTTATCGATCGGACGCCATGCTAGAGTTCGTACAGATGATTATCGATATTACGACTAAGCTAGGTAGACCCTGGTGTGCAGCCAAGTCGATCCCATCTGATACTACTATCAGTAGGAGGTGCAAAGAAGTTGCGGAGGATCGGAGAGAACAAATTAAAATGAGAATCGAGCAGCAGCTACCCCCATATCAGGTACTAGCTCGACCGGTGGGTATTCATAAGGGTTTACCTATTAGGTAATACAGAAATAGCAAATTGTTAATTCGGCGTTTTGTTAGCTCGGCGTTTCGTTAGTTCGACGTTTTGTTAGTCCGGCGTTTTACTCTTGCTGAATAAATTGTGTATTGCGAATTGAGGAAGTATCAGTGGCATCGTGTCACCTAACACGATTCGAATGAGGACCACATCATTGATATCGGCACCTATATCAGTATTAGTTGTTACAAAATTATTAACGCACGGAGCGATTCGCCGATAGTGAGCAACTAACTGATAGAACTGTTACCATTGCGTCGCTCCAGAAATTCTGGTCCGAGATCGCACCACAGCTTGCGCACAGGTTCATTTTGATGCATGGCTGAATCCGTATCAGAACAGGCACCTGCTAGGCGTGACAGTGAACGTGCACAATGGTGACCACTCTCGACCTGCTCTGTTAGCTCTGGAAGAGTTGAAATCAGAGTCCGCAGCTCATATTCTGGAAACAACCGAACAAGTAGGTTCCCTGTGATATTGCATGCTACCAACGCGGCGTTGCCAACGCCCCTGTGGCAAGGAACCTCACCAAACGAACCTCACCATGATCGAATTTCAGGTACTATCCAGATATGGACTGGATGGCAAGAAGATACTCTTCAGTTCGGATTCCGCAAGCAACAACCTAGCCGCGCTTAGAGAAGGGGACCTAGCGTCCACCCCTTGTTTCGCTCATCTATTACAACTTGCAATTAAATGCGGAACATGCCCGAAACAAGACTCGTCTACTCGCCAGCTGCATCATCTCAACCCCGAAGAAATGCTGACGGTTAGAAAAGCGGAAAAAGAAAACACGGCAGCTGCACTTGTGGCCGGGACAGCTAGGATGGTACTTTACGTCAAGAAATCGAAGCTTAACAGTAAAATAAAAGACAGGGGATATAACAAGTAAGTGATACTCTCGGGTCACCGCTGGTGAGTCATCACTGATGACTCATCAGGTGACCTTAGATGTATGTCTGACACGTCTCGTGGATTTGTAGGTTGAAACCTGTGAATGAAGTTAAGTGGAATTCGTTGTACGACATGTTGAGGAGTGTAATCGGTGCGTGGGATCCGCTGGGCTCACTTCTGATAGAGAAAGGGAAAGGGATGTAATATCGGACGTGCTACATGAGTAACTACAATTGAGCAATATTTCTTCCAGAGCAAAAATTGGGCTGGACTGGGAGGCGTGATGTCGTTATGTTAGTTTCTTTGAGCGAGTGTTGTCGAAAAAAAAGGAACTGGAGCAGCTCATGGCTTTAATCAAGCCGCTGCGAGATGCGACACTCACTATCCAGAGTTACAAGAAGTTGGGTTCTACTAAAACGATCATGTATGTCCTGACTCACGCCTCGTGAAGCTATGTGATTTATTCGACTTCAACCTTTCCTCATTCCCGTCTGCATCCGCAGGGAACTCGAAAGATGCTGGAAACATCTGTCGGATGAGAAGATGGAAGAGGAGCCCATGATTCAGCAGGCCAGGAGCAAAATCCGACAAGGATTTCTCGATAAGGTGATATTGCGCTGTTGCGACTACGAATTTAGAATTTCCAAATAAAAAATTCAGCCCTTTGCATACTGTGTTAGGTTATTGCCAGACTGACTCCAGACTGTCTTCTCCCAGCCCTTCTGCACCCGAAAATACGGCTGGGAGAGAGTTGAGAAGCTGCAGATTGTACAGTCCTTTCGAAAGACTTTCGACTCTGACTCTAAGTCTTCTTTACGCGGAATGCTCAGCAAGGCTAGGCTAATCCAGCAACTCAACGAATGGTCGATTATTGCTAATGAGCGAGAGGTTGGCGTGCCTTCTGGCTACCAAACTAAATCTGCGTCTTATCTTGAAGAGCCTTCGGACATCACAGATCTGACCACTGACGTGACTGAATTGGAGGACAGCTGCGTTGGAGATCTTTTTGGCAGTGAAAAGCTCCCGACCTTCGCAGAGAACACCGTCTTCGAAGAACAGTTATTCAAAAGGGTGGAACTTGAGGTGAAGAGATATCTGACATTGTCCTGCCACGAAGACACGTATGATGGATTTTGGGGAAAAGCCCGCACGTCATTCCCACTCCTATCCGCCGCTGCTGACTGCGCACAGTTTTTCACTCTGACTACGAGCTCATGTGAAGGCATTTTCAGCCGAGCACGAGATCAGTTAGGGATGCGGAGGACTGAACTCAAACCCAGTACTCTAGAGGCTTTGCTGATAATTCAGACCACCAATAAGTTATCAGCTTAGTTGCATGGAACAGCTTGTATTGCATCCGTGGATGCAGCTAGCTGTAAGATATCATCATTAATGTCTCGTCTTTGTAGGGTTTTCTACTCCCGTTAGTAGCCCATTAACCATTGGGGCAGCAGGGCGCTCATTAAGCTTCCTGTCGACCCTTTAATACGCGTAACATCTGTGGATGATTACTATGAATAATGTTATTTCATCAATGGCGTATTAGACTGTATTGCCAATGGCAATTTGTCATACCTGCAAGCATACCCTTTTCATAGTCCTGATAGACTTTCGTTCACTAAGTATAACTTAGTAAGTATTACTTACTAAGTAAATTTTACATATAAACAGCTCAATAGACTCAGACTGAGATTTATACGTCTGTATCAAGTCTCGGAGAGTCGAAGGAAAGCAATGAATACTTCTTCCGTACCGATTCACCAACTGAAATGTCTCGAGTCTCGACGAGTCTCGCAGCTCGTCTCGGCACGAAAGAAAATTTTTCCGCTCGCTCGCCGCTCGACCGAGCGGCGAGCGATAACCGAGCGAAGCCGAGCCTCGGCTCGAATGCAGAGGTCTGATCACAGCCTATTTCCTGTATAAATTGAAACCGGGTGCCTTACGTCCTTTCTTCAAAGATCTTGTCCAGTCCTGCATGTGTTTGAATATATCTTTGGAGAAAGTGTTTCTCACAAAAACAATGGAACGCACCCTGAATTTTCTGAGGCCCGGATTTTCACTAGCAAGCCTCACAGCTGAGCTTATTAAGGAGCTCACTGAGGGACTTCGGCTTGACGCACATCACAGTATCTGCATGGAGATAGTCCACGCCTCTGACGCCGGCCAATGTATCGGTCTCTACTTCGACACAGTAGCTACGACCGTGCGCATAGCTGCATATTTTGCAGTGCCTCAAGGATTCGAACTCCTGCGGCTACTGAGCTTCGGCATTCATAATTGCGTTCTGGAAAATGATGCCCTTGAGGTTTATCAGGGGCTCGCTACCTTGTTTCAAAGCATGTGCGATCTGTGGGAGCAGAATGCCTGAAAGACGCAGAACATCGGAGTGATAGTGACATGAATGTTGTGTGCTCTCTCACCCGCAAATGAGATCCCACTCAGATAGAAAGGGCCTCTGTACTTGGGGAATCGACTGAAAAACTCCTCCACGAATCTGTATCTGATGATGACGGAGAAGATCCAACGAAATCCCATGAGATTCGGACTAACATGTTCTCCACAATCTCTCCTATGGCTGTCTCAGGTGGCCCTCCTTTACTGTAACCCACCCCAGTGGGTTGATCCAACCAGATGCCATTGGCCCTGTTAGTTCACGAGTTCCTGAAATATTCATCTTGAGAATCATCGATGTGGACATCTTACGGGTTGATGGATGTCGAAGTTCCTTCTTTGTTTACCATGCAAGGACCATTGTATTCGACCGCTGAAACAGTTGCGCTCCCGCCTGGGCCACCGTGAACCCATAGGAAGATCGGATCAGTTGCTGGACTATTCCTCGATTCGAAAAACCAAAAGAAGTACCTGCCGACAGGTCCCTCCCCGTAGCAGTGAACAGTAGTTCTCACTCCCTCTCTGGGTTTCCCGGGTACACAGCATAGCGCCCATGAACTTGCTTAACGTCGGTATCACAGAGTAATAACCTTGGCCACTAGTAATAACCTTGAGACCCTCCGAGGTAGTGTTCGTAGGACCTATTTTACTATAAGACACTTCTGGAACTACATGAGGAGCTTCGAACGTCCACAGGAGGCTGCTCAACCTTAACAAATTCACAGTAAAGAGCATGAGGGATGTTACTCAACTGCCTGAAATAAATCTACCTTTGAGTACAAGAGATCCGGACGAGGACATGATCGGGTCGTCACTTGATACTATAGAAAGTCTATGCTAGTGACTCTTACAAAATAGTCCTGCGATCGACAAGGTTGGCAAGGGTGCCATAAGTAATCCTCAATAGAGTCTAACGGAAGACTCTTAAGGCGATCGATCGTTTAACGCATGCACAAGTGAGCTACGCGTAGGAGTCTCGCGTCGCCTTATACTGTCTACTCCTCACAGGCAGGACCGCATAGTGGGACAACGTAGAGGTGTTATATACTGTTATCAGGCATTAGTTGAGCATTATGTCTCTTTAGCTGAATCACTCTGTGTGCACCATTGTGATCTTAGCATTTCTCTTCATCTATTTAGAGTAAGTAACTGAGAATAGTTATCCTTGCGCTCTTGAAGTTATTCGTGCCCTTAGCTATGCCCTCACACAGTTGCACGCATATACCAAGGCTTTTCTGCGCCTTGGTTAAGCTTTAGTTGGCAGTCAACTTAAGCACTCAACATCTTGGTGCCCAGACTCAGGACTGACTCCCGGTAGTTCGACATTGTCTCCAACGACTTTGGTGTTACTGTAGCGCGTCAGTTCGGTGGCCGAAGTAGAAGTTCAGCCGAAGACGGGGGTTCCGTGCCCTACCTTCTCGGGTGATTAGAAGATGATTCAATCATCTTCTTCAATCATCATGATTGTCATTTACATTCAGCCGATGCTCAAAATATTGATAGTAGTACTCGTCCAAGTTTGCAAATATAGTGAATTGGATAGTTTGATAGCTGGCATCTTACGATGCCTCGATTATAATTGTCGTAGCATCCACATTTACACTGATTCGAAAGTGTCGCTGGATGCCTTTCTAACTGCTGTCCTTTCAGAAGATATATCTGCAAGGTATACACAAGGGCTTAGTCACCCGTAGATTGATGATTGTTCGATCAATTATTGATGAAACTATGCACGTGGGTGCCTCGTGCCTTAGCAGATGGTTCAACACGTTTGCCGATTTGCTTGAAAGCTTAGTGGAGTGTTGCAGCAGTGAAATCATTCCTGTAACGGGAGAGTATGCAAACGTGGAACGCATCGCGCAGAGTACACAAGCTGCACCGTGCAGACTGCCATGTATGTACGCACACATGCGTGCAAGATACGAGTGCGACCATTCCTTGGAACTCAACCAAACAATTCCTCGGTTCCAGGTAGAGCAGCTATGCACCACTGGAGTTGATGCGCTTCAACGTCCCCCGCGGAGAGTCTCCGCGGGAAAAGTATATCCGACTACGTCAAGCAGTCTACTTCCTTCGCACAGTTGAGCCGTGAAGTGGCTGAGAGATCGGCCATTCCAAGTACTGCGAGTTACTGAGTGTTGCGACGGTCCAGTGGGGCCTAGGAGTGGCTGAAAGATCGCTCATTTCAAATACTGTGAGCAACTGAGTGTTGCGTGGGCCCAGTGGAATCATCGGCAAATCGGCCACTTCACGAAGATGGCCGCGAAATCGGCTATCTCGACTACTGTGAGCAATTTCCTTTGCATCGGTCCATCGGGCCGAAATGTGGCTGGGTGATCAGCCATCTCAACTACTATGAAGATGGGATCCTCGAGATTGTGTGTTCGATAATCAACCTGCAAACTTCCACGTTCTTCGTGTCTACGCATACTCTACGGGTCATATGTACATCTCGTGGCTGAGCGACTAAGACTTGTTTGTCTATTCCGAAAGACATCTGTTCATGATGAACAGATACAAATTCAGCAAGTGAACGAACGAATTAGATAAAAGGAATTCGATTTCAGTATAGTGGAAGGAGTTATTCACGAAATGAAATTTCAATTTCGAAATGCATGTTAAGTTGACGGCCAAGCGCTGAATTTCATGTGTTATTAAGAGGTCGGCTACCTGTAATGTTACTTGATGTCAGCAGACATACACCCTAATAAACTCGAATGTTCAGTGTTACGGATTATAAACGAGAATCAGGATGCAACCGTGCAGGCCTCAAGATCCTGCTGGTCCGGGGGCATGGGGACTCGCACCAACGTAAAATAGCTGCTCGTTGCTCGTCAGGAGCTAGGCCGCTTGAAGATCTCAACTGATCCGTGTAATCCTTGTCATTGATCTTGGCCAAGGATTCATGCAATGGGTGATCACGAGCTCTTAATTGTTGAGCATTGGTATCGAATTAGC